TTTTCTCTATTGTGTCTTCAACATCAGAGATTCTCTGTTCCATCTCTTGCATTCTGTTGGTTATGTTTGCATCCTGTTCATTCAGATTTTCTATTTCCAGCATTCCCTCAGTTTGTGTCTTCTTTATTGTCTCTGTTTCAATTTTTAAATCTTGAACTGTTTCCTTCATCTGTTTAATTGCTTTTTCTTGGCTTTCTTTGATTTTTTCCAATTTTTTTGTTTGTTTGTTTGTTTGTTTGTTTTTTGGTTTTTTTCAAGACAGGGTTTCTCTGTGTAGCTTTGTGCCTTTCCTGGATCTCGCTCTGTACACCAGGCTGGCCTCGAACTCACAAAGATCTGCCTGCCTCTGCCTCCTGAGTGCTAGGATTAAAGGCGTGCGCCATTCTTCTGTTTCTTTAAGGGAATTTTTAATTTCCTCTTAAGGGAATTTCTCATTTCCTCTTCAAGTGCCTCTATCATCTTCTTAAAGTCATTTTTAGGATTGATTTCTTCTGCTTCTTCTGCCTTGGTATGTTCAGGTCTTGCAGGTGTAGAACCACTAGGTTCTGATGATGTCATATAGGTCTTTATGTTGTTGCCTGCATTTTTGCACTGTCTACTCATCTCTTCCTCTGCTCAGTGTAGGCAGTGTCTGTGTTTGAGGTTGCCTCTCTTGTTCCAATTGGTAGTCTTGGTCCACTGGGAGTTCTTGGTCGAATCAGTGCTGTTGGGCTCTGTTTCTCCGGGAGCAGCTTAGTCCAATTGGTGTTAGTAGGTTCTGTCTCAGGAGCAGCTGTTCCCAACTGGTGCAGGGTGGGCTTATGGCTCTGGTGGTTGATGTGTTAGCAGGGGGGAACAGGGAAAGGTAGCTGCCTGGTCCCTGGGGCTCCGATGGCTGGGTCCTAGAGGCTAGAGACCTGGTCTGCCAGTCCAGAGATGGGGGCTTACCTGTTCCCAGTAGGTGTAGGGTGGGCTTATGACTCTGGTGATCTGGTTCCGTGACTGGGCTGCACCTTCTTTTGTGTTCTCAGGTCACATTTTGCTCATTTGTCAACTCCTCAGCTGATCTGTTTCCTCAGACTGTAGGTTGCAGGCTTCTGAAACCTCTCCTGAATGGATCTCAGCTGAACAGGTTGATCAGTAGGGTAATCTCACCAACACCTCCAAGTTGTTGGGCTTTGTAAGATGGGCAGCTAGGCCCTAGGTTTGTCTCTGGCAGAATGCTCAGGTCCGTTCTCCCAAACAAATTAAAAAAAAAGAACTATGATAAAAAATAAAATCTGATGCTGGGGTGATGGTTCAGCAGTTAAGAATACTTGCTGCTCTTCCAAAGGGTCCAAGGTCAGTTCCCAGCATCTACCCTGGGTGGTTCACAGCTCCAGTTCCTGGGGACCCAACACCCTCTTATGACCTTCACAGCTGCCTGTACTCACAGCCACCTGCACTCGGGTACACAGAAACAGATACATATAATTAAAAATAAAAATCCTGGGCTGGAGAGATGGCTCAGGGGTTAGGAGCACTGGCTGTTCTTCCAGAGGACCTGGGTTCAATTCCTAGCACCCACATGGCAGCTCACAACTGTCTGTAACTCCAGTTCCAAGAGATCTGGCACCTTCACACTAGTGTACATAAAATAAAGTTAAATAAATTATTAAAAAAATAAAATAAAAATCTTGCTGCGCAGTGGCAATGCATGCTTTTAATCCCAGCACTTGGTAGGCAGAGGCAGGTGGATCTCTCTGAGTTCAAGCCCAGCCTGGTCTACAGAGTGAGTTCCAGGACAGCCAGGGCTACACAGAGAAACCCTTCCTTAGAAAAAAAAGAAAAAGAAAAATAGATGTTCTAATAATGAATGATGAATAATGAATAAAGCCTAAATTATGTTTATCTTTTGCCATTGCAGTGGTAAAATATGACTTCCTGTGTGTTATGGAGGAAGGGACCCCCAGCTGTCAAGATGTGGCCCTAAGGACCTACATGAAACACCAGCGTAGACATCCGGAGAATAGTATATTCTGAACAAAGTGCATCTGGCCTTCCAACTTTGAATAGTTCCCCTTCCAGGGCAGGCAGCAGATTTTTGTACCTGATCAACACAGGGACTGGGCAACCTCCTCCCTCCCTCCCTGTCTCCTCTCTCCTCAAATGCCAAGCTCCAGGTTCCATGAGAGACTGTGTTTCAAAAAATAAAGAAATAAATAATAAGGTGGGGGACCAGGGCTGGCCCAGTGGGTAGCAGCAGTAGCCTCACAAGCCTCACAAACCGAGTTCAGTTCTCAGGACCCATGTAAAAAGCTGGCCATGGTGGCATGAGTCTGCAATTCCAGCATTCTTCTTTTTGAGAATTCTCCGTTCTTCTTTTTGTTTGTTTGTTTTGTTTCTCCAGACAGTGTTTTCTGTGTAGGCCTGGCTGTCCTGGAACTCGCTCTGTAGGCCTGGCTGGCCTGGAGCTGACTCTGTAGGCCTGGTTGTTCTGGAACTCGCTCTGTAGGCCTGGCTGGCCTTGAACTTGGTATCTGCCTGCTTCTGCTTCCCCAGTGCTGGGAATAAAGGTGTGCACCTCCACAGCCTGGCTGAATGTCAGCATCCTTTGGGTGACGCTGGAGGTAGATTATACAGAACAGCAGCAACAGACTCCTAGAAGTTGTCCTCAGACCTCCATGTGCCTGAACGACAGAGCACACACTGTCCCTATGCAAATATTTAGAATTTTTTATTTTATAGTGTGTGTGTGTGTGTGTGTGTGCGTGTGTGCATGGGTGTGGATATGTACAAACGTATCGAGGTGCCCTTGGAGATCAGAGGAGATCAGCAGCTGGAGTTACAGGCTGAGGCGAGTGCTGTGTCCTCTGGGAAAACGGTCTCTCCAACCCACAAGTAAACATTTTAAAAAATGGTGAGATCAGCCGGGCGGTGGTGGCGCACGCCTTTAATCCCAGCACTCGGGAGGCAGAGCCAGGCGGATCTCTGTGAGTTCGAGGCCAGCCTGGGCTACCAAGTGAGCTCCAGGAAAGGCGCAAAGCTACGCAGAGAAACCCTGTCTCGAAAAACAAAAAACAAACAAACAAAAAAAAAAAATGGTGAGATCAATAAAGAACGACCCCCAACATCAACCTCCAGCCTCCACAAATGTGTGGGCACACATGGCAGGCACGTGCATACACAAATGCATGCACATATACATATACACACACATGTGCGCACACACATACACTCCTGCAACATGAATAAACGATCAACTATACTGAGAGTAATTTCAGTGTTCACAGGAGCACAGCAGAAGGCGGCCCATGAGAGTGTAAGCGGCAGGCTGACCACAGATTCCGGCTGCTCAGTCTTCAGTGCTGGGCCTGAGCCCGTGCCGGGCACAGCTGAGATAAGTCTCACTTTCAGTTCCTGTTTTTTTTTTTAAAGCTGAGCGTGGTGGTGCACACCTGAAATGCAGATGTGGGAGGATCAGGAGTTTGCAGCCGGTCTAGACGACTTGGACTTTCTTTCCCTGGCTTGCTCTACCATTGAGTTACACCTCCGCAAACTGCCTCTCCACCCACCTTTTCACGGAAAGATTTAGCTGGGTGTGGTAGCACACACCTTTAATCCCAGCTTCCGGGGGCAGAGGCAGGCCGGTCTACCAAGTGACCTCCAGGACAGCCGGTGCTACCCAGAGTCCCTGTCTCAAAAGACTAAACCAGACAGGTACAGTCTGCAGGCTGGGACAGAGCTTGTTTAGCACGCCGCCCCGAAGCCCGGATTCTACCCCTGCCTGGCGAAGCATAACCAGGTGTGGCAGCTCACACAGGCCTGTCACCTCAGTACGTGAGAGGCTGAGACAAGGGGACTGAATAGGATCTTCAAGGGCCTCCTCGACTGTACAGACCAGCCTAGGCTGCGTGAACCCCCTCTACCCCAACCCCGTCTCAGTGACCACTGGCCCCAAGGAAGGCACGATGGTGAGATGACTTCAGATCTCTTCTGCGCTTCTCCCTTCCGGGGCGGGGATGGAGGGGACTGGGGGTGGGGGAGGTGGGGGTGGGGGAGGGAACTTTATCTGGTAGGAGGGAATCAAGGCCAGGCCTTTGAGGGACAGCAGTCTGGTTCTGAGAGCCTAGAGAGTTGATGAGACATTACTCGGGTAATTGGGGAAATAGCTAGTTAGTGTCACTCGGATTGACAGGTTTGTTCTCCAGAGGGCAGTTTCCACCATCTGGAGGCTGTACCGCACACAAGAGCTTCGCAATACCCAAGGTGTTTATGGAGTCCGTGGCAGTCGCCTGGGTGTTCCCTGCACCTAGCAGGCGTCTAGGCAAGGAGTAGGTGCTCAGGAGGCGCCTACTGAGCTGGATGGTGAAAGGTTTCTGGGGTGTGAGCTCCAGCGGAAAGCCTCCCCGCACTCACTGCGTGCCCGCCGAAGCCTTCTCTCTGGAGTGAACCTTCTGGTGTTTGGTAAGACAGTGGTTCTGGCTGAAGGCCTGGCCACACTGGGGGCATCTGTAAGGCTTCTCGCCGGTGTGGACGCGCTGGTGCACCATGAGAGATGAGTGGCAGCTGAAAGCCTTGCCACACTCACCGCAGAGGAAGGGCTTCTCGCCGCCGCCGCCGGTGGGGCTGCGCTGGTGCTCCTGGTGCCCCAGGGGAAGGCCTTGTCGCGGCTGTGCGGGCGCCAGTGCAGCGCCAGGGCCGAGCTCTGCAGGAATCCCTTCCCACACTGGCTGCATGCAAACATGCTCTCCTCGGTGTCAGCGCCCACCCAAGGCCGCCCGTGCTCTCCTGACGGCAAGCGTGTCCTCTGGTGGTTCCGGGTCAGTCCCTCGGTGGACGGGTGTCTTTGCTGCATCTGGCGGGTGAGTGTTCTGGGGGAGTGCCTTGCTGGGAGGAGAAAGGGCGCCCCCGGGGGACATTGACAGCAGGAGCAGGCTTCCACGGCGCAGCCTTGCTCCCTAACACGGTCCGGTCTGGTCCAGTCCGGTCCGGCATTACCCAAGCTGGCTCTCCAGCGACCTGGCCTCTTCAGCTGCTTCTGAGACAGCCCTGTTTTGTAAACACCCTCCTCCATCACCTCAGGCTCCGCCTTCCACTCTGTAAAAGACTGAAGTGGAATTTTCTGTGGATGAGCATAAGCATGGCCCTGGATTGCTGACCTGGAGATGCAGGTAAACTAGAAATTGAGTAGAAATCACAACCACCCGGAAGTCCAAAGGCACAAAAGCAGAGTCACAAAAGGGAGTTGCTCAAAGGGACTCCCAACTGAAGACTCCTGCCAGGCTTCACATGAGAGGAGGGCACATCTCAGAGGTCTGGGGATCAGGAGCTAATTCAGCCATGGAAACACCCACCGACAGGCTGCACCCGCATAAACTCAAGGGAAAGAGGCCTGCCACCCCGCCCTCTTTAGCGTCCCTCAGAACAGCTGGAGCTGCTGAACACATCCAAGTGCAGCAAGCCTCCTCTGTGGAGGAGGGGAGCCCCCAACCCCATTTCCTTACCACTGACCCCTGCATAGTACCCTGTATCTGACTGCCTGGAGCAATTCCAGTTTTCTCTCACCTAGGCCCTTCTCTCTGTAACAGTGTTTCTCAAAAAGATACAAGAAGCATGGTGGTGCATGCCTTTAATCCCACTACTTGGGAGGCAGAGGCAGGAGAATCTCTGTGAGTTTGAGGTCAGTCTGGTCTACATAATGAGTACCAGGAGAAACCCTGTCTCTAAAAACAAAAAAACAAACAAAAAGGGAGTAATTTTGGTAAAGAAGGCAGAGCAGCTGGGGCCAGAAACAACATCCAGGCCTAGGGGCTGTGGCTACCGGAACCTGGGCTGCTGGGAACTGGGGCCATGAAGACAGAGTGACCCACCTGACCTCTGTACCCCCCACCGGACACAGCACTCTTGCCCAGAACACATAACTTTGTTTGTTTGTTTGTTTATACCATTTTTGGTCTCTTTTTCACAAAAATGTGTTTCTCAAGCTTCCAAGGCTTGAGAACATAGTTAATGTCCACTGTCTGTTCAATTAAGACGGAATGAATTCATTCACTTGTTCATTAAACAACTTTTAAAGAGAAATCCGTAAAAAAGAAAATGTTTGGGAGCTTATAATATATTCTAGTAGTTGGGAGGTTGAAGCAGGAGGATCACTGAGTTTGAGGCAAGCTCAGGCCACACAGTGAGTTCAAGGCCAGAGTGAGATCCTGCCTCAACAAGCCACCTGCCTTTTTTTTAAAATAAGAAAAGTTATGTCATCCTCCTAAGGATCTGCCCTTGGCTGTCCTTCTGCCAGAGTGGGTTTTGGTGATGTCTGTAGCCTTGCTCCGCCCCTTCCTGGTCGGCCTGCCTCCATCTCCTGCCTCTGGCCACCACCTGCTTACTGAGCAGGGCCCTGACTCCTCCTCCTCATCCTCGAATTCTTGTCACTCACCCTTGTCAGGAGGCAGAGTGTGGGTGAGCTTTGCCCCCTGCTGTGTCCCCGCACACTATTCTCTGGCACACAGCTGGCACACAGCTGGGGAGGAAGGGCTGGCTGGGGGATGGGGAAGGTGCACACGCTCACCTGGACAAACCTCTCTTGGGCTTTTCCTGAGCTCTTCCCGGGGAGATCACATCTGGTTGGTGGGGTGGAGGCCCTGCTCCTAGGGGAAAAAGCAGCAGGACTGGATGTGCTGTGGCTCTGCTTGGAACCCCGAAGGACAGCCCAAGAACAGAGACAAGGCACCTAGAGGGGTGTGTGTGCCATCACCAGGAACATGAGACCTGTGGGCCCCAAATCACTGAGGAGTCCATACCTGGCACCCGCCTTGGTCACCTAGAAAAGCTCTGAGGCAAACAGACTCAGGCTCCTAGCCCTCACCTTACCTCCCCGCAGGCCTCTCTCACATGGCCTGGCCCTGGGACCAGTCACAGCTCAAAGCCAGGATCCACCAGCTCTGGTGCTAATGGGCTCTTCCCTAACACGATGTGGGAAGAAGGGCTGGCAGCAGCAGACACCCAGCTTTGGAGGAGCCAGCCTACCCGGAGCAAGAAGGTTCTGGTAGTTCTCCAGCATTACTTCCTTATACAGAGCCCTTTGAGGAGCGTCCAGCTGACCCCACTCCTCCTGGGTGAAGTCTACAGCCACCTCCTTGAAAGTCACCAGTTCCTGAAATGACACGTACATTCTCATTCACCTAGGGCAAGAATGATTCTGTGTCCATTGTTCCAAGAGCCTACGACTAGGAACCTGGTAGAGCCCCTGGTGAACAGCAGCTGACCTCAGGAGCAGAAGCACTGTGCAAAGGCTGAGGGGTGGGGCAGAGAACAACACACACTGCATCCTGGGTTTGACAGTGAGACTGAACGGCATTGCGACACCCTGACAATTCCATGGCCCTGCATGCCCATGATCCAAGCTGCTTGGGAGGATGAGGCAGAAGGCCAGCAAGGTTGAGATCGACCTGGGCAACTTAGTGAGATCTTTTGCTAAAATTAAAAAAAGGTGTAGAGTGAGGCCCTGGGCTAAACCTTTAGTGCAGTGCGTAAGTTTTCATGTGTATGCCCTGGGGGAGGTTGATTTTGATTTGAGTATCGAATCATTCCAAGATATAACAAGTTGATGTTTCATAAAAAGCATCTGTTTAAGAAGTGGACTACCACATTGATGTAGTCCCCCCCCCATACACACACACACACACACACACACACACACCACATACACACACACACACAGAACACATGCAGACATTTCTTAGATAAACAAAGGTAAGCTGCAACATCATGACCTTTCACCCCACCTTTATCTCTTTATAGAATCACAGAAATATCACATTCAAGAAATTTAATATTGGTACTGTGGTATTAAATATATAACTCATTTCCAAGTTTTCTCAATTGTCCTAAATTGCCTTTTATCATTTGTTTTGGATCTGCTGTATGTGGTTATCATATCTTGAGTGTGTCTAACACATCTCAGCAGCTAGCCACATTTCACAACATGTGGGATTCATTTATTCATGAACAACTGGGTCTCTTTATGACTGAACTCAAGATCCTTCCACCTCAGATCCCTGAACATACACCACTGTGTCCACCCATGTGTTCCACAGCTTTCAATAAAATCGATGTTATTTTGTCTGTAATCATATTTCACTTTTTTGTTTGTTTGTTTGTTTGTTTTTTTTTTTTTTTTTAGACAGGGTTTCTCTGTGTAGTTTTGGTGCCTGTCCTGGATCTCACTCTGTAGACCAGGCTGGCCTCGAACTCACAGAGATCCACCTAGTTCTGCCTCCCGAGTGCTGGGATTAAAGGTGTGCACTGCCACCGCCGGGCTCATATTTCACCTTTTTTTTTTTTGGTTTTTTGAGACACAGGGTTTCTCTTTGTAGCTTTGCGCCTTTCCTGGAACTCACTTGGTAGCCCAGGCTGGCCTCGAACGCACAGAGATCCACCTGCCTCTGCCTCCCGAATGCTGGGATTAAAGACATGCACCACCACTGCCTGGCCCTGTTACCCTTTTAAATAAAAGTAAATATTTACTCTATGTGAACGAGTGGTTTTCCTGTGTGTGTGTCTGCACAATGTGCATGCCTAGTGTCTGAGGAGGCAGGAGAGAGCACTGAATTCCCTGTAATTACAACTGGAGGTGTGAGCCACCATGTTGGTGCTGGGGACCAAACCTGGGTTCTCTGCAAGAACAGCAAGCGCCCTTAACCCCTGACCATCTCTCCAGCCCCCCCCACTATCACTCTTATTTGAGGGCTCCCATTTATCCTTGCCTGATCTACCTGGGGAAACTTCCCCAAATGTTCCTTGAGGTCTCTCCAGTCCTGGCCAGCACGTGGAGTTAAGCAAAATGACCTTGGAGGAAAACTGATGCCAGCAGTTTCTGGCAACTGAGCCACCTTCTAGACTGAGTCTGGCTGGAAGGGTCTCAGGTGTCATCTGGACTCTAACTGGTACTGCTCCGACTGTCCCAAGCTCCTTAAGGACTGGAAAGCAGGTGCCCAATCGCAGGTCCGTGGCTGACTGCAGACCCAGGGTTGGCAAGAAATGGGACCATCTTCTTTGTAAATGAAGAAAAGACAGCCACTCACCTCAGATCTGGCTTCCAGGGGTCCCCAGTCTGACTTATCCTGGGGAGTCTCTTTGGGAGAAAGAGCAGGGTCCGGAGCTGGGCATGGAGAAATGGGTCAAGAAACGAATCGAGCTTACCCACACCCACCAGGCTCCCGGCTGAAGTAAGGCCCACTCACCCGCGGCACAGTCGGAAGTCGGAGAAGACCGGGCAGGTATAGGGTGGGAGAGGGCCTCAGATCCGGCACAATCTAATACAGTCTCAGGGTCGACATCGCCTCTCAGTGTCCAAACATCTCAGATACGGAGGGGAAACGTGGCCATTCCTCTCCCATCAGCATGTTTGATTGAGACAAGCAAGCCAGATGTGATGCTGCTGTTTCGGGTGATCTGGCCTGACTGCTCTGAGAGGCATCCTCCTCAGGTGCAAATACGCCACTCTTTGAGATGAAGCGAAGGTGTACCTGCCTGCGCTGGTTCCAGGGCCAGGGTCTCCATGGTGACCCCCAGAGTTGCCTGAAGGACTGAGCCGCTCTATAGCCACCTGATCAGGTCCTGCAGCCAGGATCTGGGGACAGCAGCCCGCAGGGCAGCCTCTCGGTGACCCCTCTCCCGGGGTCAGGTGCAGCGGGGTGGAGTCTCCCCCACACTCGCCCACGGACACACAGGCAGGGCCCGCTCTCGCCATGTCGCGGTCACACATGCCGACTCCCATCTCACTCTTCCTGGGGACAGGGTTAGGACTCCCGGACCAGCGGGAGCGGAGCACAGCTGGCAGACAGACTCCGGGACACGCGTACGTGTGGACTGGCCAGTGAATGCTCAGATGGCCCGACAGCGGGAGAACCTGAACCCTGCACGGGACCGATCGCTACAAAGAGCAGCTGGACGCGCGCCTTGGGGAAACGCGCCTGCGCGGAGCGGGCGTGGACTACATTTCCCAGCCGTGCTCAGGCACCGGCTCCATTCTCGGGAAACCGGGGACCCCCACAGGTACACCCCTCTCCCTCCTGCCTCCCCCAGCAAGCTCTCAGAACGTCTGACTGACATGTGAGTAACATAGGCTCCTGGGACATGTCATTCAAGGTGTGCTTGGCTCCTTGCCCAGGAAGATTTAGTGTGAGAGTGTGGGGTCAGCCATTGGGTTGGGGTTAGGGTTAGGGCTTGGGTTCCCGCTAGGGATCAAGTTAGTTTTGAAAAAACAACAACCTTATATTCTTTTACTAAACAAACCATTTTAAATGATAATTAGATTTCTCTAAATACTGTCTGTGTTTTCTCATTGGCCAATGCCTCTGCTTGCTGGACAGCCACTGCCTCAACAGTAGGATAAAGTATTCTCTCTGGAGGATGCTACTGAGCTACATAATATCCGTAAAACCTAAATTAACTTCAAATACTTAAATCGGTTTTCAAAATTTTGTCTATTATTAAAAGATTTCGCCAAGCAGTGGTAGCGCACGCCTTTAATATCAGCGCTCGTGAGACAGAGCCAGGAGGATCTCTGTGAGTTCCAGGCCAGCCTGGTCTACAGAGCAAGATCCAGGACAGGTACCAAAACTACACAGAGAAACCCTGTCTTGGGGGTGGGGGTAGTGGGAGGTGGGGGTGGGGGTGGCCTTGAACTCACAGAGATCTACCAGACTCTGCCTCCTGAGTGCTGGGATTAAAGGCGTGCACCACCGCCATCCCCATTATGGACTCTTAATGACTTTCGAAGATTATCCAGAGACATTTCCAATCTATGGACCACTATTGGGGTAAAAAATGATGAACTGAGTAATTTGTTCAAAACTTAGAAGGTGACCAGGACTTAAATACTCCAAGAGAATTATCAGCTGAAGCTGAAAGAGAATTGGCTTTGGTGGAAAAGAAAGTACAGGATGCACATGTGGATCATTTGGATCCAAAGCTTGATTGCATTTTGGTTATTTCACCCTCTAAGCATTCTCCTACAGGAATTTTAATGCAGAGGGAAGATATTATGTTGGAATGGATATTTCTAGCAAATAAACAGAGTAAAAGATTAAAAACTTATGTGGAAAAGATCTCTGAGTTGATTTTAAAAGCAGGAATTGATCCAGCAGAAATTGTAGTACCTTTAACTAATAATGAAATTGACAAATTATGAGCAGAAAGTGAACACTAGCAAAGAGTTTGTAGTAATTTTTGGAGAGAGATTAACAACAAATATCCCCAAAGCGATAGAATTAAACTTGTAAAGAGAGATAACCTTCTTGAATTGCATGGGAAACATCAATATCTGGAGCCCCTACATTTTATACAGATGCAAATAAACCAGGAAAGGCAGGTTATAAATCAGAAATTTTAAGTAAAGTAGTTCAAAGTCCTTATAATTCTGCTCAAAAATCGGAATTATATGCTATTCTGAAGGTATTAATAGATTTTTCGGAACCTCTCAACACAGTTACTGACTCAGTATACCAAAAGAGTGGTCTTACATATTGAAACTGCAGAACTTATACTGATAAGTCAGAATTAACTTTGTCATTTATTCAGTTACAAGAAATAATCAGTATTAGGAATCATCCCTTATATATAACTCACATCTGATTCCATATGGGTCTGCCAGGCCCTCTAGCACAAGGTAATGATGAGATCAATAAACTATTGATAGGAAATGTGCTAGAGACCTCAAGATTTCATAAAAAAAAAAATCATGTCAATAGTAAGGGTTTAAAAAAGGATTTTTTTTGTTTTGCTTTGTTTTTCAAGACAGGGTTTCTCTGTGTAGCTTTGCTCCTTTCCTGGAACTCACTTTGTAGACTAGGCTAGCCTCAAAATCACAGAGATCCACTTGCCTCTGCCTCCCGAGTGCTGGGATTAAAGGTGTGCACCACCACCACCCGGCTAAAAAAGGATTTTTCCATAACCTGGCAACAAGCCAAGGAAAATATAAAGAAATGTCCTACTTGTTCTTTATACAATCAAACTCCGCTAACAGCAGGATATAACCCAAAAGGCACTCAGAGGAATGAAATCTAGCAGATGGATGTGTTTCATTTTATAAAATTTGGAAAATTGAAATATGTACACCACATCATTGATACCTACTCAGGATTTCAATGGGCAACTGCTCTGAGTTCTAAAAAAGCTGATTCTGTAATCATGCATTTGCTAGAAGTTATGGCTATCATGGGTATACCTGTACAAATTAAAACTGACAATGCTCCAGCATATGTCTCTGGTAAAATGAAACACTTTTTTGCTTATTACAATATAAACCATATTACAGGTATACCACATAATCCTACAAGCCAAGCAGTCATGGAAAGATCAAATTGAACTCTAAAGGATATGCTAAATAAACAGAAAGGGGTAACAAAACCCCCTAGAAATAGATTACATAATGCTCTATTAACTTTGAATTTTCTCAGTACTAATAAGAAAGAAACAAAGGCTGTGAATAGATATTGGATAATACCTTTTCTACAGTAGGAGAAAAGCTTTGGATACCATCAACATCAATAAAGGTTCGATTTGAACAAGAGAAACTTCTTAATTAGAAGAGGTGATAGTTCATCAACCAGCATGACCATTCAATTTAATTTAACCTATACAACTAACATACTTTTCATTTAATCAGATATAACTTGTCAAAAGGGAACATCCCCAAAGTTAGGGTTAGGGAAGGGTTTTTGTTTTTGTCTTTCAGGAGAATGAAGGCTAAGGAATCTGAAGAACACTGGATAAATGAAACATCTGAAGGAAAAGGACAAATCATTCAGAAAAAAATGTCCCAAGAAAAAGAGTAATTTGGCCTTTTGGTATATCACATATAAAATTTCATAAGTGTTCCTAAATGTTTGTTTTTGCTGTTCTCCACAGACACATAATACAAGTGGTCTTTATGTAGTCCCAGTTCAATTAAAAATTAAAGCTGGCTTTGGAGTTGGAGTATGGCTCTCTTATTCTCTAAACCCAAGCATGTTTTTTAAAGAAAATTCAAAATCTCTGTATCATGGCAGAAGAGCCACCTGATATGAGACAAAAGAAAAAACAAAATTAAGGGACTATTCTATTGCCACTAATCTCATAATTCTTTGGTTTTATTTGACTCTTTAAACCTTTTCTAAAGGTATGAATTTTATATCTAAATTAATAAGATTTAATATATTTATATTTTAAACTTTTGTCATGATATTAATAGTCATATAGAATATTAACTAATTCTAAAAAAAGGGCTTCATATAGCTTCCTGTACATGATTTCCCCTTTGAGTCTGTATCAGTTTTCTGCAGGGAACCATGACCATGCCTAACAATGACTTTGAAGTCTCCAAAAAGATAATGGGGCCCCACAATGATGATTCCATCAGGATGATAATAATACTACTAAGCTGACAAACACCATCCAAAGATTGGCTTTGGACTACAAACTGCTCAGGAGAATTTTGAGATGGCTAGCTGAGATGACCCAGCTTCACAGACTATTCCAGCAAGCCCTGCAACTTTCACATTATAAGAGACTGGACAACAAATGATACAGCTACCTCTCCCAGGACTTAACAATTAACCCCAAATTTTTCTTTTCAGGATCCCCTAAAGATGCTGTCACCCCCAGACAGCAGGAAGTAATTTTAAGAACATGATGCCCACATTCCCAAGAGGTGGGATGCATGGTTTTGGGTCATTCAGTGGGTTATGGATAATTGTCATTGTTTAGGATGGTTGGTTACAAATTGTTAATTGACAATGGTCAAGAAAAAAGCTAAACAAAGAAAATTGGATTTGAGGTTCTTCTTTGAAAAAAAAAAAAGAGCATATGGATAAGTGTAACTTATTAAATCTACTCCAAAAAAAGATATAGGAATGATAGAATAAAGGGTCGATTATTGAATCTACTCCGAAAAGAAAATATGAGAGAATATGGATATAAGATAAAAAGGTAGAATATTGCATTTACTTTTAAAAGGCAACTACTAATTTTAAATATTTTACATTGGATTGGATTTTTGTATTTTGTGTACAAATTATGTATATTGATACAATTTGAGATTGATTTGTTAGAAAATACTGTACATATATTTCTAATCTTGTTCAAGGTATTGTACCTATACAGCTCATTTAACAATGTAATGCAATTTTCTAGTCCTTGAAAATTATTACCTATTTAGGATGATAAAGAAATGAAAGTTAGTAGTTAGTCATTACAATCAAACCTGTAGTCATATTAGGTCTGTCCTCAAGGTCAAGCAGAAATATATTTTAGATAGACAGGTCATCTTCAAACATTTCACAGATCTACAGAATATGGCATTTAAGATGTTTTAATAGCATAGATTATTTTTTATGACAATGAGACATGTCTGCTCCTGGCAGCACCAATCTACTCAGAGAAGACGATGGGCATTGAAGAAACTCCATATGGAGTTTTCTTTCTTTGTGGCAAGTTAGCCACTGGGCAAGAAAATGCCCTTGTCTTGACTGCTGACCGTATGCTGTCCAAATGGACAAGCAGGATACAAAAGAAAGGACTGCTGATCCTTGCCAAGACAAGGTAAGAAGGCTCTTTAGAAAGTCCTGCTTCACAGTTGAGTCTGTCAGATATGCTAGGCCTGTAGGCCAAAGATGGATGCCCCAACATTGCAAAGAAATCTTAGGTGACTGTCCAGGCAGCCAGCTGTTTCTGTCATTTCTCACATTTTTCAGAAGTCGCTTGTTTGCA